AGAAGATTAAAATATTGCTTTGATCAGGTGCATGGGATAAAACACTTCGGCAGCCTCAGTGGCTGCTTCCTTCACATGGTGTCCGAGGGTGGGAAACGGAGTCTGTGGCGTGGAAATGGCGTGAACGTCTTGAAAATTGCTCCAGAATCCGCGCTGAAATTTATGGCTTACGAACAAGCAAAAAGACAAATTCGCGGAGATTCCCAACTGGAATTACGTCTTTGGGAAAGATTCCTGGCAGGAGCTTTTGCTGGCGCTCTGTCACAGTCCGCCATTTATCCTCTTGAAGTATGTCTTTCGAATTCTGTATCTGATTCATTGCCCGTGTCGGTCATGTCCGGCGACCGTTGAATTAGTTCTCCTGAGTCATGAAGGCTGATGAATACTGTATAGCTGCAATTCGACTTATCAAGAGTAATTTGAATATTTTATTTAAAAAATTTTTATACCTATATACAGTATATATTCCCTACCCAAATACAGTATGTGACGGTTTACTAATCCTATATGGAGACCAAGATAGGGATGTGAATCAAATGTAATGCGAAATCCGAATGTGCGAGATGTATGAATGCTGCGGTGGGTGATAAACGTTTTTGTCAGAATCCAACTTGTGTTGAAACCAATCTTTGTTTTTAAAAGGTTCTGAAAACACGACTGGCTTTGGGGACAACCGGTGAGTACCACGGTATTTTCGACGCCATTCGCAAGATACGTCGCGTCGAAGGCATCCGAAGTTTCTACCGGGGCTACTTTCCAAATTTACTCGGAATTCTGCCATACGCAGGCATTGAGCTCGCAGTATACGAGGTGCTACAGTGCTTATCATTCAGATTTTCGAGGATAATTTTTTTAATGATTGCCTGGTATGACAGACACTGAAGGCTGAGTTCATTCCGCCGAACAAAACTGAGCCTGGCATTCTGCTTTCGCTATTATGCGCTACCGCAAGCAGTACTTGTGGTCAAGTTTGTGCTTATCCCTTCGCATTGATCCGGACGAAACTCCAGGCTCAAGGTGTGAACTTTTAAAACACGTGTTGCCCTGTGCTTGAAAATCCTACAAGCTTTCTGATAATTTGTATTCATTAAACAAGCCGTGCTCTTCCCGAATGGAAAGCTCAGGAAACGACCAACTACAACATTGGCTGTGGTGAAGACAATCCTCCAGTATGAGGGTTGGAGAGGGCTGTACAGAGGACTTCTTCCGAATTTCTTGAAAGTCATCCCAGCTGTTTCGATTAGTTATGCTGTCTACGAGAAAACGCGGGCTGCTCTTGGTGTGACAATGACTTGATTTGTGACAGCAAGCTCTCACATCTAAGAAAGTAACCTTTCGCATTGTCTCCTATCTCATTGCAAAAACACTTCGGATTCGGCGTGAATTTTTCGATGACGGGCCTTAATAAAAAGGCTTTTGTGCGCAGTATTTGCTGAACTAAAAATGAGTCAAACATGCTGGATCAACATAATTTTACTCACTGAAAGAGCCAGTTATCAGTTTTTGGTTCAGTCTAGGACATTTCACAATTCAGCGAATCATCATTCGATAAGGAGAATTCCTTCCTCCACCGCCACCATCGGAAATGAACCCTGTTGCGAACATTTATCATCAGGGAACATTCACTTTTAGCGCACTGATAAGTATTCGTGAGTATTGGAACAATAGAATTCAGTTTCTTCCGTTCATTAGGTCGTAATTGAAATTGGTCTAATCAAAAGAAAATGCCATTTCTAAACGGAATGAAAGCAGGGGGAAAATATCGCCACCCACCCGACACCGCCCAAGTAAAATTTGCTCAGAATAGCTCAACAAGGAATGACTGAATCTGGAACGGCTTGAAATCCACAGCAAAAGATGTAGATGCACCATGAGAATTCAGCTTCAGACCTCCAGATTTCAAGGGCTCCTCCAGCCCATTACACGCAGTCACAGCTTTCACAGGGAAATGCAAAGTGACATTCGTAAGTGGAACATGGCTGCCAAATGACTCGTAAAATCTGAGCACAACAGCCCTGTGCGTCTTGAAATTATCTGAAAGCTTCACGGCATCTAAAATGACAGCCCTTTGGTCCACTTCAATCCATGAAGACTCAGCCCCACTGAGCTGCCAAATGACTCGTAAAATCTGAGCACAACAGCCCTGTGCGTCTTGAAATTATCTGAAAGCTTCACGGCATCTAAAATGACAGCCCTTTGGTCCACTTCAATCCATGAAGACTCAGCCCCACTGCAAATCAACTAATTTTATTCAAAATTTAAATTTGACTAAGAATTCCAACACTCACGCAAGCTTTCCCAACCTAGCTGCACCATGGAGAATCTTCAGCGGCTGGTTGAACTCATGAGCATGCTGTATGACATTCGCCGACTGGAAAGTGCCTGCATGCAACGCAACATTTCAACATAAAAATAATTTGTATTCCATTTACAAATGATTACATACCAGCATGCGGCATCAGAGCATATTTGAAAGTATGAGCACCAATATCAGCATTCGCATCTGGGCTTTTCGGTGCTCGCAAAAGTGACAGTGACAATTTATTACCATCAGTACTCCATCCATATTTGCACTCGCTAAGCAGTGATACTCCAAAACCACACTCGCTCATGTCTGCCCATCTGAAATTGCGCAACAACACAAGATCGTAAATAATATTGAAAAATTTTGGACAACAAAATCCGAGACGTTTTGATAATGTACCTGTGTCCAACAACTTCGTACTTCGCCCAGTCCCAGGACGTATTTGCATGAGTAGGTCTTTCAACGTGTCCATACTGAATCTCGTACGTCGCATTCCGGGCCAGGACGTTCAAGGGGAATTCGGCCTATCATAGAAATTAGAAATAGCAACTCGCTCCATTCATCATTCCAATTAATTTTTAAATTTACACACCTTAAGGATTTTGTGGCTTTCCTTCCAATCAACATTGGTTTCGAATGTTAAATACGGCGACTCAGCATCCAAAATAATTCTTTGGGACAATTTGGATCCGTTCCCGAAAGACATTTCCCATTCCACTGCAGATACCAGTGGTCCATTTTGCAAAATTCTCGCCGGCTTCATTTTCACTCCCTCTACATTAGGCTGTAGAAAAAAGGAATGAAGAAATTGAAATAGGCCCCGTAAAGAAATATTTTCGCACTATACGAACAGCGTTCAAGATTTTTCTCGTCTCCAAGTGGTAGTCCATCACGTCCCAGGCA